TAATTATCAGGTGTGCCTTGTTAAAAGTTAATTTGTGGAATTTCTTTCCTTCTTAATGCGTTTGAGTCAATCAGTTGTGTTGTGACAAGGTAGGGGTGGTATACAGAAGATAACACTATTTGGTAAAATACCTAGCCCATATTATGGCAAGAACAGCTCAAATAAGCAAAGAGAAACAACAGTCCACCATTACTTTAAGACATGAAGGTCAGTCAATCCAGAAAATGTCAAGAACTTTGAATGTTTCTTCAAGTGCAGTCCCAAAAACCATGCTATGATTTTGATGAAACTGGCTCTCATGAGGACCACCACAAGAAAGGAAGACCCAGAGTTACCTCTGCTGCAGAGGATACGTTCATTAGAGTTAACTGCACCTCAGATTGCAGCCCAAATAAATGCTTCACAGAGTTCAAGTAACAGACACATTTCAACATCAACTGTTCAGAGGAGACTTCATGAATCAGGCCTTCATGGTCTAATTGCTGCAAAGAAACCTCTACTAAAGGACACCAATAAGAAAAAGATACTTGCTTGGGCCAAGAAACACAAGCAATGGACATTAGACCGGTGGAAATTGTCCTTTGGTCTGGAGTCCAAATTTGAGATTTTTGGTTCCAACCACTGTGTCTTTGTGAGATGCAGAGTAGGTGAACGGAAGATCTCCGCATGTGTGGTTCCCACCGTGAAGTATGGAGGAGGAGGTGTGATGGTGCTTTGCTGGTGACACTGTCAGTGATTTATTTAGAATTCAAGGCACATTTAACCAGCCTGGCTACCACAGCATTCTGCAGCGATACACCATCCCAACTGGTTTGCGCTTAGTGGGACTATCATTTGTTTTTCAACAGGACAATCACCCAAAACTGTTCTGCATCAGATGACATGGACTCCACAATCACTCTACCTCCACCCAATTGAGATGGTGTGGGATGAGTTGGACCGCAGAGTGAAGGAAAAGCAGCTAACAAGTGCTCAGCATATGTGGGAATTGCTTCAAGACTGTTGGAAAAGCATTCCTCATGAAGCTGGTTGAGAGACTGCGAAGCGTGTGCAAAACTGTTATCAATGTAGAAAATAGTAGAAATAAAGAAAAACCTTTGTGTTACGTTACAGCCTTACCCCCTCATCAATCTACACACAATACCCCACAATGACAAAGCAAAAACAGGTTTGTAGAAATGTTTGCTAATTTATTAAAAATAAAAAACTGAAAAATCACAATTACATAAGTATTCAGACCCTTTACTCAGTACTTTGTTGAAGCACCTTTGGCAGTGATTATAGCCTCGAGTCTTCTTGGGTATGACGCTACAAGCTTGGCATACCTGTAATTGGGGAAGTTTCTCCCATTCTTCTCTGCAGATCCTCTCAAGCTCTGTCAGGATGGATGGGTTGTGTCGCTGCACGGCTATTTTCAGGTCTCTCCAGAGATGTTCGATCGGGTTCAAGTCCTGGCTCTGGCTGGGCCACTCAAGGACATTCAGAGACTTGTTCCGAAGCCACTCATGCGTTGTCTTGGCTGTTTGCTTTGGGTTGTTGTCCTGTTGGAAGTTTACCCTTTACCCCAGTCTGAGGTTCTGAGCACTCTGGAGCAGGTTTTCATCAAGGATCTCTCTGTACTTTGCTTTGTTCATCAGCCACGATCCTGACTAGTCTCCCTGCCACTGAAAAACATCCCCACAGCATGATGCTGCCACCACCATGCTTCACCATAGGGATGGTGCCACGTTTCCTCCAGATGTGACACTTGGCATTCAGGCCAAAGAGTTCAATCTTGGTTTCAATCTTCTCATGGTCTGAGAGTCTTTAGGTGCCTTTTGGCAAACTCCAAGTGGGCTGTCATGTGACTTTAACTGAGGAGTGGCTTCCGTCTGGCCACTCTATCATAAAGGCCTGATTCGTGGAGTGTTGCAGAGATGGTTGTCCTTCTGGAAGGTTCTCCCATCTCCACAGAGGAACTCTGGAGCTCTGTCAGAGTGACGATCAGGTTCTTGGTCACCTCCCTGACCAAGGACCTTCTCCCCCGATTGCTCAGTTTGGCCGGGCGGCCAGCTCTAGGAAGAGTCTTGGTGGATCCAAACTTCCTCCATTTAAGAATGACGGAGGCCACTGTGTTCTTAGGGACCTTCAATGCTACAGAAATGTTTTGGTACCCTTCCCCAGCTCTGTGCCTCGACAGAACCCTGTCTCGGAGCTCTACGGACAATTCCTTCTACCTCATGGTTTGGTTTTTGCTCTGACATGCACTGTCAACTGTGAGACCTTATATAGACAGGTGTGTGCCTTTCCAAATTATATCCAATCAATTGAATTTACCACAGGTGACTCCAATCAAGTTGTAGAAACATCTCAAGGATGATCAATGGAAACAGGATGCACCTGAGCTCAATTTCGAGTGTCATAGCAAAGGGTCTGAATACTTATGTAAATAAGGTATTTCCGTTTTATTTTAATACAATTACCAAAAATTCTACAACCCTGTTTTCACTTTGTCATTATGGGGTATTGTGTGTAGATTGATGAGGAAAAATAAATAATTTCATCCATTTTAGAATAAGGCTGTATTTTAACAAAACTTGGCTTCATTTTATTAATTGTGAGTCAGAGGCCCAGTGCACACTAACCACATTTTCACAGAGCAAATGAGACTTCACTGTGAATGGACAGGGTGCCAGGCAGGCAGCTCTGTGGATGTTGCTGTGCTATGGGGGTGGGAGGCATACATTGGGTGTGGTGTGTGTGAGATGAGAGAGAGAAGAGAGAGAGAGAGAGAGAAGAGAGAGAGAGAGAGAGAGGATAGAGAGAAGCGAGAGAGAGAGAGATAGGCGAGAATCGACGCGCTCTAGAGCGCGAGCTAGAGAGAGCGATATCTCTCTGTCTCTCTCTTTCGCTTCGCATCCTTCTCAGATAGGCATCGTAGGATCTGCTGCACTGAGAAAGGAAGAGCTGGAAACAATCCAGGGAGAGATGAGAGCTCAAAGTCAAACGGCGCAGAGAGATGGAAAGAGATGAAAAGAGTGTGAGATTAGAATGCAGTGGGTGTGTAGAGAAAAAATGTAGCAGAGAGAGAGGGGGAGAGAGAGGGAGATGGAGAGAGGGAGGAGGGAGAGCGGGGGAGTGGAGCAACGGTGGGCGACTGGTGAGAGAGGTGGCTGGCGAAACAGGTGACGTTGTGCTGTTAGTGAGTGGGAGAGGAACAGTATGCTTAACTAAAACAATGGTTCTGCTTGTCTCTTGCGAAGGCATTATTGGCTGTTTCTAGTCTTTATATGAAAGCCCTGCTGTCACTGTGAAAGACAAAGAAAAACAAAGAGAGGGGAAGAGATGGATAAAATCAGAGAGCGAGAACAAGAGAGAGATAGAGAGAGAGAGAGAGAGAGAGAGAGAGATAGAGAGAGAGAGAGCAGAAGAGAGAGAAAGAGAGCGATGAGATATGACGGCATGACTTAGCTAGGCAGCGATTACGCCCATATAGCTAGCAGCCTTAGCTCTCTACCCGATAAAGAGACCCTGCTATAGCCGTTACATCAGTCCCTGTAGCTCTCTGACCCGAAATAGGACTGTAAAAGACCTACTTCTCCCAGAACGCAAAAAATGGGAACAACAAAGAGAAAAGAAAGCAGCTGCTTTGCACCGTAGAGAGAGCAGATGAGTAGCCATTACAATTCTCTCTGCCCCCCACCCCCCAGAGACAGGTCTCGTGCTCGGGAAATATAGACACAGACAATTCAAATGTAATAAAGTCCCCAGGGATTGGGAATCAAATTAGGAAGATGTCAAGAGCACATGCTGTTTTCATTTGTTAGCTGTGGTCACCACAGACGGACAGGCGGCTGGAGAACGTTGCCGAAAAACCCTGTTTTATCAGATGGAGAAAAAGTGGAGGAAAGGCTCCAGTCCACACACTGTGCTAATGGACGGATAGCTGGAGAAAGAAGAAACGCAGCGAAGAGAAGAGGAAGAACCCTCCACACTGCGCCCCATCAAACTTATTCGCTGATAGTTAGATTTTCTCCATTGGCTCAGGAAAAGAGCCTATTGCATTCATGGTTACGATGTGGTGGTTTGAGTCTTAACGTAAGAATTTTGTGTAATGGCGTCTTAGACTAAGTGGACACAGATGCTGGACTGTGCTGCTGTGACGCAAGGCGGTATGCTATGTGTGCGTCCAAAATGGCACCCTATTCCTTATATAGTGCACTACTTTTGACCAGAGACCCATAGGGAATAGGCTGCAATTTTCAGATGTGCCCTCTGTCAGTAATAAACACACAGAGTGTGCTCACTGGGTGAAGCAGAGCTGACCATCCTTATGGGCTAGCCTCCGACAGCCCATTTAGCCACTCACCACAGCACTTCAGATTAGAGCTGTTATCTATATGATGAGATGGAGCCTGTCCGATCCCCACTCAAGACAACACAGACTGCCCAGCTGGCTGCCAGGTTAGAGAAATGACAGCATGCTCAAAGACAGGAAGAAGAGAGTGGTCAAAGAAAACCAGACAGGCCGTTAGAAAGAGTAGAGGAGCAGTACTAGTAGAAGAGTAGTAGTGATAGAAGAATCCTGGTGCTGGGTTAGTGCCAGTAGTGTGCCCAGAGAAAGAGGGCCTTGCCTGGCTAGAGAGAGGCAGAGATAGGCCGCTGGGGAAGGCCCAGTGCTGAGAACAGTAGTAGTAACAGTACATTTACATTTAGTCATTTAGCAGACGCTCTTATCCAGAGCGACTTACAGTTAGTGAGTGCATACATTTTTCATACTGGCCACCGGTGGGAATTGAACCCACAAGCATGCGCTTGCTCTACCAACTGAGCTACAGGAGTACAACAGCAGGGCTGGGTTAGTGCCAGTAGTGCTTCCCCAGGAAAGTCCCCAGCCTGACCATGGCAGAGAGGAGCAGAGATGCCAGACAGAGGCAGAGACAGGTCAGGGGAAAGCAGCAGCAGTAGTAGTAGTAGTAGTAGTAGTAGTAGCAGCAGTAGAGACCCAGTACCAGGCTGTATTAGTGCCAGAAATGCTTCTCCGGTGAAGGAGGCCCTAGCCTGCGCCTAACCATGGACATACCATCCTCCTTGGTCCTGATCCGGGCTGCGGGGCTCTCTGGGCCTGGGCCTATGTCCGTGTGAGCCCTGACCCACACCTGGTACTCTGTCCACTTCTCCAGGCCCTTCAGTATGTAACTAGAGACGTCTGCCCCGATGACCGACACCTCGTGGCGCTGCAGGTCCTCTCCGGTGGCGGCCTTGTAGGCCAGTGTGTAGCGGACGATGTCCCCATGGCGGCTGGCTGCAGGGGGCGCTACCCAACTCACCTTGATGCTGGTGGAGCTGAGGCTCAACAGGAGTACCTCCTGGGGTGGGGCTGAGGGGGCTGGGGGGGGGGGGTCAAGCAGGAGGGATTGGAGAGGGATGGAACAGGAGTGCGTCCCAAATATCACCCTATTCCCTTTAAGTGCACTACTGTATAGGGAATACGGTGCCATTTGGGACGCACCCTAGGCCTTCTGGACTGGGAGGGGGAGCTCCATATACTTTAGCCTATAACTCTTTACCAATGTGTGTTAGAGTAATCGTGTGTGTAAGGCAGCCTGAAATGAGTTTTTAAATGAGGTACAGTAGGTGTATATATAAATACATATAAATAATTTGTTATCAGGTGTTTTTCTTCTATCAAAAGGTGTGTTTATTTTATTTTCTAGTCTCCTGGCTAAGCCCACGATTTTACACAGTCCAGAAGTAAAACAAATACTTAAAATGTAAAACAGGCACATAATACAAATGAGCAAAATAAATGTTTCAGAATATCACGACACAGTGAATATGAACAATGGAATGGTGGTGGGTGGGTGAGGGATACTGAGGGACCACTGTGTGGAAGAGGAACTTTAACATGCCTGCTTGTGGTTCTGGCAGCCAGAGCAATGAGGCAGCAGGACACAATATGCTTTCAATATGTCATGTCTGGTTGGTTGGTGTGAAAGAGCTAATCCTTGACAGGTCATTCCTTCCTTCAAAATACAGACGCCCAAGTGATGAACAGAGTTCAAATACAGATTGAAACATAGAGAAAAAACAGAGGCTGCATCCCAAATGGCACCCTTTTCCCTATATAGTGCACTACGTGGCTGAACCTTTTTGGGTATATTCATGTGGGAGTAGATGAGAGGAAGAGACTATGTGTGGGAGACAAATTGCAACAGCTATGTTTCAAATAGGAGCAGGGTTGTAGGAAATACAAAAAGATAGAGAGGGAGGCAGATATATAGAGAGGGTGATATAGATATAGAGAGAGGGAGATATAGATATAGAAAAGGCAAATAAAGACAGGGATAGATAAAGAGAGCGAGATAATTAAATGGTGAATGGGTGAGAATATTGAGGACAGAGATAGTAATAGAATTGTGATTTTGAGAAGGGGAATAGAGCAGAAAGATTGAAATGCAGTGAAAGGAGGAAAAGTGGAAGTTATTGAGACAAAGACAGAAAGAGATTGAGAAGGACAGATAGAGACTCTTTGCTGTGTTAGAAACCTTCTTGCAATGGTGACTCAGTGACTCTGTGTGTCAATGGGCAGGCAGATAAGAGACTGACTTCAGAGAGAGAGAGAGAGAGAGAGAGAGAGAGAGAGAGAGAGAGAGAGAGAGAGAGAGAGAGAGAGAGAGAGAGAGAGAGAGAGAGAGAGAGAGAGAGAGAGAGAGAGAGAGAGAGAGAGAGAGAGAGAGAGAGAGAGCGAGAGAGAGAGAGAGAGAGAGATCCAATTCGGGACCTATGTTCCTATGGGAATCAAAGCCCTGCCTGGTCCCTCAAAAGTAGTGCACTAAATAGATAATAGGGTGCCATTTGGGATGCAGCCTGTCTCCCCCCTTTCCACACATGAAGGCTTTCACAGCTGACAAGTAAAACAAATGGCTGAGAATAAGCTCTGATTCCTTTTGGGAACCCATCATAAATATTTCAGTTTCCAACCCCTAGATCTCCTGGAGAGACTGTGCTCGGTGATGTGAGTGGAGGTTGAGGCAGTGACAACAGCAGAGGTGGCTGGTTATGTGCTAAAAACTGTTAGTGTCGGGTAGGTGACAGTGATTGTGTTGGTGGATGCCAAGGCCATACATAAAGACGTATAGTACAGTGCGGGGCCATGTTTCATTATAAACTCTAAAACTATAATAACAAATGATGGTGACATTTATGATGTAGCCGTGTCTTCTGGGCAGCAGCCTGTTTGGGGTTACTGGGTTCTACATCATACTGGAAATGAGTATGTTCTGTATGTGTGTACTCAGTCATATGTGGTGCAATGGGTTTATCATACTATTTGTCAAAATGTGCAATGGTCTACTGGTAGTGATTTGTTATCGACTGACTGCAAATATGGAGAAGGAATGTTCCTCACAGTGAGAATTCATTAAAGTCCTAGAGTAAAGCTTGTTCGAGCAAAAAGGTTTGCCATTAGAAGAGGAAAAAGCCTCTGTTTGTGTCTGGGCGTTGGGATGTGGACCAAAAACTACCCCTATGGTCAAACAGTCAGCTCCAGGTAAAGAGAGCTAAAAAAGCTATAGGTTTGGGTCTGGGAGTTGGTATAGTACTTACTGGACTGGGCAGTCCTGGCATCAATAGGTTGGGTGTAGACGCCAAGACCCATCTCAGAGCGAGCAGCCAGGGAGAACATGTAGAGGGTGTCTGGCTTCAGACCCTCCACAGCATAGGACCCCGCTGGAGGGAAGGTCACATGGAGCTGAGGGAGACAACAGGCAGAACAGATGTTAGTCAAAGTCTCAGAAGAGTCTAGCAAAAAGGACCCAGAAACAAATGTTGTCTGCACTAGCTAGATCGCTACTCTATTTATATTTATGTCTGTCACTAGAGATTGTTCAAAAAGCACAATGAGAACTGTAGATATTGTAATCCTCAAAGTTAATATGTAACACTTCCACATAAAAAAGTACACAAAGTAGGAATTACATTTTGGATCCTATATTGCATTTGCAACACCTGAAATGTCTTACAGAAAGTCAACTGACAGAGAAAAGCATAAAAGAAACCTTTGAGACGGATAACACTGGAGTAGGGGGATTGTATTATCAGTAAGGGTATGATGTGCTGGGGACAGGTTTACAGTTATAATTTACCTTGTTGCCCGAGTTAGCCTCCCAGTACATGAGCTCGTACTTGGTGATCTGATCCTGGACAGGCCACAGCCACGACAGCATGATGCGGGTGTCCAACTCTGCCTCCGCCTCGAAGCTAGATGGCTGGGCTGGTACTACAGGCAGAGAGAAAGAGAGAGAGAGACATTACCTTAAACACTGCTCTCAGGATACATAGGGGTTACGTCTTAATTCTGCTGCAGCATGCACTCCTCCCCATCCATCTAAAAGCATTGGAATGTCTTACACCAGTTATTTCCTTTTAACCACAAAGGGAAGTACACACTTTGTACAGAGGGGTAGATGACTTGGAGTGGGACAAAGTGAATTACTCAGTGTGGAATCATATAGACTATTGTAGAGTCTGTAGACATGCTATGAGACACAGGAGATGCACTGTGCTTTCACATGAATCACTCCATAATAGCGCTGAGACTACGCTTTCACAAATATCAGCAATATACAGAACACCTTCTCAAGTGGCTCCTTTATACCTTTAAAAGCTAGAGTAAATCTACAGTACAAAGAAGCCAATTGAGAAGACTTTCTGCACAACAAAATAATTCAGTGGCACTGCATCACTTTATCACTTTTGTTCTCAAAGGTGTCAGAAGAGGAGGAAACTGCTTTGTTTCTTTGAGGACACAGCACAGTAGATAATATGCCCTTGTGGATATGGATTATCACTCAGTGAAAAGTGAAACCTCTATTTGGGAGACTTGGGCTTCAAGATTGGCCTACAGTTGGTTAAGGAGCTGAAACAGACGTAACACACAAAGTGCACCCTGTTTCATACAGTGTCCACTTACCACCTAGGTAGTGTCCCTACTTCATAAGTAGCAGTGTCCGCTCACCACTCCCCTGCTACACAAGTTGTACACTTACTACCTAGGTAGTGTACTAGGTACTGTCCCTCCTTCAGAGTGTCCACTCACCTCCCTGCTGGGTCTTGACCTGCAGTACATCAGATGGAGGTCCATCCCCTACAGAGGTGAACCCCAGCACCCTGAGGCTGTAGGTGATATCTGTGGTCAACCCTGAGATGGTGGTCAGTCTGCTGTCATCAGTGTTGTGTTTGTGCCACGCACTCAGCGGGGCTCCGAGGTCCGAGCTATAGTACACCCGGTACCTGAGAAGTGGGTTAGAAAATCAATCAATCAATCAATCAATCAACAAAATGAAACATACAAATAATCAGATGAAGAGACCTGTTATATCAACCTTTAGCTGTATGACATTTTCTTGTACAGGCTTCATAAAGCATGTAGGCCTTATAAAGAGTTTATGAAGGCTTCATTAAGCCTTCAAAAGATATATTCATAGAATATCCTACCCTCTGATCTGTCCATTAGGCTCCTCGGGCGGCTCCCATTGGACCAGCATGGTGGATGCGCTGAGCATGCGAGCCTGTACAGCCAGCGGTGGAGAGGAGGGAGCCTGCTCACTGGTCCTGGTGTCCACGAGGCTGCTGGGAGGGCCACGCCCAATGTTGTTCACCGCCATGACTAGGAACTCATACTCAGAGTAGGGGCTGAGCCCGCCGATGCTGTAGCGCGTGGTGGCTACTCCGTCGACCTAAAATATAATGATATCATAATAATATGGTCATTTACAATTTACAATTACAATTTACAATTTAGTCATTTAGCAGACGCTCTTATCCAGAGCGACTTACAGTTAGTGAGTGCATACATTTTCATACTGGCCCCTATCCAAAGTGACTTACAGAACTGTCAACATTGACCCTGACACATACTGTACATTCAGTATATGTGGCCCATGCAGGAATGTAACCCATAACCATCTGGGAATGGAACCCACAGCCTTGGTGTTGCTAGCACCATGCTCTAACCCACTGAGCCACTGGAACCATCGGACCGTACCTCCTGGAAGCCGTTGTCAGAGACCTTGGCCCGGTACTGGATGACGTAGTAGGACACAGGCTCAGGGTTCCCAGAGTCCCAGGTCAGAGTGACGCTGGTGGCTGTGGTCTCAGTCACGATCAGGGAGGTGGGGGGCTTGGGCAGGGCTGTCAGATAGACCATAGAGGGAGAGAAATACACAGGTCATGGAAGCTCACAACAGCAAAACAATACATTTCTGTTTCAATGGACAATAAAGTATACTATTCCATTCTATTCTATTTTATTCTATTCCATTATATTCTCTCATCCTTCGTCCACTCCTGCTAACATAATACTACAAATAAAGACCTAAAAAAGGCTGAAAGTGCTATCTCACTAATGCAGGCCCCAGAGCTGTGAGCAGCAACAAGAGAGAAAAGAGCGAGAAGGACAGCACTCACATCCTATCAGTCAATCACTATTCAGTGCCTGTCTCTTTCAGTCCCTCACCTGTCACTGGAGGGGCCAAGCCAGCCATGTTCATTATCTCTCAAAGCAAAGTGTCTCTCACCCAGTGTGACCATTCAGCGCTCTCTTGCTCTCTTTGTCGCTCTCTCTTTCTTTTTCTCTCTCTCGCTATATATATATATAGATAGAAAGCCCATTCTCTCCTTCTCTACTATCTAGGGCAAAAAGTTATCCTTCAATTAACTTGAGAGTCAGAGTCTTGAATAGAGAGATGAATAGAGTAATGCGTCTTTTCTATTTTCATTGTATTTACATATTGGTCCTAAGAACAATTTCAGGGCTTAGAGCATACCTTTGGCAAAATGAAACATGTGTTCAATGTGAGGTAAATGAGTATCATACACACAATTATAATATTTAGGAAGTGTAAAGATACTGAAGAAGAGTTTTTGTTAGTCTTAAATAAATAACCTGAATAGAAAGCAGACTCAAGCAGACTGACTCAAAATCAATGTAAGCAATATAAAATGGAGTGAACTGAATCTAAATTATCTAGCTGGTTTTGTTCTAGGATTTCTTGAGGTGGTTTTCTTTTCATATTTTGCAATTATTTGACATTCTGTTGAATTGCAAGGTGACATATTTAAGCAATAAGGCACAAGGGGGTGTGGTATATGGCCAATATACTACAGCGAAGGGATGTTCTTATGCATGACGCAAAGCAGAGTGCCTGGATACAGCCCTTAGCCGTGGTATATTGGCCATATACTACAAACCCCATAGGTGCCTTATTGCTATTATAAACTGGTTACGAATGTAATTAGAACTGTACAAATATTTTTTTGTTGTCATAACCGTGGTATACGGTCTGATATACCAGAGCTTTCAGCTAATTAGCATTCAGGGCTCGAACCACCCAGTTTATAATACATAATATAACATATAAGAGTATAATATGAATGTATTTTGTTCTACACTGACATAGCATTTGCGTTTGAAACACACAAGATGTAGGTCCATTCTGCAAAGAATGTGATTATCTGTCCCTTTACCTCACAGTAATGGTAATGTACACACTCTCCCAGGTTTTCTTATTTCCATCACAAAAGGAAAGAGGCTGCATTGAAATAGAATTGTGGCTGAAAATGGTTGCTAAATCACTTTTGTGTTGTGTATGTTGTACTGCTGTAAGAGTCCAAATGGATCTGCTAAAGTAAGAGGTGGTGGGGTGTAAAACAGGGAGAACAGCTCGCTTCCAGACGTCAGATGGGCATTAGGGATGAGACATTGCAACCGAGAGGTTTTAAAGAAAGAGATCAACCCTTATACAGCCGCAGCGCCCCCGACTCCCGACGCCTTGGTTGGTATCTGCTATTGACATCTGCTATTATTGTCCGCATCCCAAATGGCACCCTATTCCCTATATAGTGACTACTTTTGACCAGGGCCCATGGTAACTTGATGCCAGAGCAATGAAACACAGTACAAGTGACTATTAAACTGTAAAAACATTATTTCTACAGTATTTTACTGTAATTACAAGGGATTAGAGCAAGCAGGTTGGCTGTTAACATTTGCATATAACAGCATATTAATGAATGCTGGGTGTTTTGTATCACTTGCACTTCTAGAGGCCTAAACAAAGGCTTCCAAACTGGCCATATTTACAGGGCAAAACAGATCAAATGGACATGGTTAAATATATTCAACAATTAAAAGGTTTAAGACCTGCTACTACTCTGGCCTGTTCCCTATATACATTTAATTGTTAGGGAACTACTACCACATATCACTTAAATTAGTACAGGACTCTCATTAACGGAGGCAACAAATATAGCCACTTACAAGGCACACCTTAAAATATAGTATGTTACTAAGCCAGCAACTCTTTCTCCTCCCACAATATTTCTCAATGCACCATCATTTACAGTATGCTGCAGTAAATATATAGCAAAACAGCAATACAGTACTTTATTATTGAATTATATTGAAAATAAATTCAGCAATTGCTAATGGGGAATATTGAATTATATATTTGTCACGACTTCCGCCGAGGCTGCCTCCCCTCCTTGTTCGGGCAGGTTTCGGCGTCACCGGCTTACTAGCTACTGCCGATCCCATTCTCATCACTCCACTTGTCTTGTCTTGTCTTGTCAATCACACACATCTGGTGCTCATTCCCCTAATTAGTATGTTCCCCTTGTCTTTGTGAGTGATTGGTTAATGTGAGAGCGAGGAGCTCGGTTGAGCTACTCTTCTATTTGTACTTGCCAAGGTGGAATATTTTTCCCTTGTATTAGTTTCGTTTTCACGCTGGGAGCGTTTGATTTATGTAAACGGATTAAACTCTGGACTTCGGTGTTTTACCTCCTGCGCCTGACTCCTTCATTCACACCTCGTCACAATATTACAGCATACCAACTGATATTTGGTGTTTTATATCACTTGCAATTTAGGCCTTAAGAACAGCTTCTAAACTGACAGTAACTACAGGGCAAAACAGATCAAGCCGCTCAACCATTAAAGATTTGAGACTTGCTGCCACTCTGATCTGTTCCCTATGTAAGTTCAATTGTTAGGGAACCACTAACACGTCTGACTTAAATTGGTACAGCACTCTCAACGGGTGCAATAAATATAGCCTTTTACAAGACATGCCTCAAAATATGTTTATGAATGAGAAACAACATTACCACACACCCACAAGTGATCAAAAGGTTTTTGACGCTCCAAAAATGTGGTATTTGTACTGTATTCTGAATTACAGTAAATTACTGGCAGCAGTTGGCCAGTAAGATACTGTAAAGTTTCAGGACAAGGTTTGAAGAATTCTTAAAATACAGTATATTACCGTATTCTGTGGCAGTACAGACTTCTCACTCACGGGTGCAACAAAAATAGACTTTTACAAGGCACGCCTTCAAATATGTTAATGAGCCAGAGACTTTATCCTCGCCCAAAACATTTCCCCAAAATGCATCATAATTAACACTGTAAAACACATTTACAGTATTTTACTGTTCATTCTACAGTGTTCTACTGTTGAAATTACAGAAAGGTCTTACAGTGTGCTGTAAAACAAATTTTTGGTACTTTACTGTACATTCTACAGCAATCTACTCTATTCAGTTTATACAGTATCATATTGTTGATTAGTACAGTAAGTTACTGATAAAATTACGAAAACGGCTAAAAGTGTACTTTATTATTTGTTTTTTGATAGTAATATTGTATTTTGTTAATATTACCATAGGGCCCCATTCATTCAGAAAATATGTCTACAACACTACATTTTAGTCATTTAGCAGACACTCTTATCCAGAGCGACTTACAGGAGCAAGTAGGGTTAAGTGCCTTGCTCAAGGGCACATCGACAGATTCGGGGATTAGAACCAGCGACCTTTCGGTTACTGGCACAATGCTCTTAACCACTAAGCTACCTGCCGCCACTAGAAGTAGTAGTGCATCCCTCTTCAAAAATCTTTGAATTAATTGAGATTTTCTTTAATAACTCCAGTGAATTAACAATTGATTAGACTGATAGGTATTTGAGCATCACAAATACTCTAATATTATGTGTTGTTTAAGCCAGTGCAAATCATACTCCCTAGGAGAAGGAACTGACTTAATTTTCTCTCCATGTTTCATGACTACTCAATTCACTAACCTCAGAGGATGTAGAGATTATATGAGAACTGATTTTGTTTTCAAGCATTTCACATGTAATGAACAAAGTAGTAAATTAAATGTTCAACTGAGTCTTTTACCAATTAGATTAGGAATTATTAGTCTATAGCTAAATAAAATAATACTTTGTGGTGTTCATATTAGAAACAGTGAGAAAGCCTACTCTATTTCATGAAAGCAGGATCACTTTGTAATTGGAAATTAAACACAATATGCTTTGCTCGCTAGTTTGTCATTTCACTAGTTTGTCATAGTTAGGTTTTCTGGAAGGTAAAGTCTCCGCCATGTTGAATTATTGATGACAATATTAATGAATGCACTGTCATCTGCACTGTAAAAATAGAAAGTCTCAAAACACCATGATTGTGTAATGCAACCATGAAAAGTAGAGCACCTAAGATGAAATCATTTGGAGGGTGTTTTAAAACAGAAATGAAGTACTCTGAAACACCCAAAGTGGTTCTTCAACCTGTATATTGGTGTTTTTAAGAGAGTGTTGTGAAAACACTTTATGGGGTTTCAGTGCATGCATGTAAAAGGTAGCATCAAAACACAAAAACGGTGTTTATCATAGAATCAACGGTATAGAAATGCAAACGGTTTACAGACTAAATATTGATTGATGAGAATATTTTTTGTGGAATTCCACCTTTTTTTTGGTAATGCTTTATTTAGACAGATTAGAAACAGGAGGGAGAGAAACATGATACATTTCGTTGGAATTTTATCCACTCAACCACAAAGCCACACTGTAAGAAATTATTCTGGGGTGAATTGAAATAATAATTGAAATAAAAACATATACTGCTAGAACCGCTAAAGCAGTCATTTTGACTCCTCATGAATTATAATTTGTTATTACTCTGCCATTATTTAAGTCATGCCCCCCTCCATCCTTGACTTTTCCTAAATAAGTATATATAACACACTGTTGTTGTTAGAATCTTGATATCACAAACAGAACTGGAATTATAACCAGTTTATGAGGGCATGTCATTTTTTTGAATGGTTTTCCACCATTGCCCCTCCTTCTCCCAACAGTAGGGCCTGCTCCGCTCCTTCTTCCCACAGTTGAAAGTGTAGTACCCAGCTGATAATCACCCCGATAACTGCCTCTAAACTAAACCATACCGAAACTAATTTCACACACATAACAACAGATTAAATAAATTAAGTAAAGTATGATGGGATGAGTTGATGAGAGAGAGGAAGCGAACGATGCATAATTATGTAATCACCAATTGTGAATGAAAAACAGGGCAGGCCATTCTATTGTATTGATCCATTCTAATTAAAATCTTTAAATGATATGTGCCCTATATCAGTCCACTGAATTAAAGCAGTCTTGTCAGTCCTACTCGGAGTAGGCTACACAGTGAGAGCGTGCGTAATTGGACATGCTGAACGGCTTTTAATATCTGGGAAAATATCTACATCGGGCGAGAAGGTGAGCGAGTGTCGGAGAATGTGGTGATGGGGCTTGTGGACCCTTATGTTGGTAATAGTAGAAATGTCACCATGGACAATTTCTTAACTTCACTGTCATTGGTGAACAATTTGCTTGCAAAGAAAACAACAACAGCACCATGAACAAAGTGAGACGGGAGCTCCCTCCCTCTGCACAAAATAAGGCACCTGCACAGAGGTTGTACTCCACAATGGTGATGAAGAATGACAAGACGACGGGAACACAGAGAAAAGCGGAGACTATTACGTACTACAACCAAACGTATGTCAAAGTGCGTCAGGCAAGTGAAAGTTACAAAAACTGTTAGGAAAAGGGTCAAGCAGACCCCGTGCCCAAGAAAACGAAGGTAACCTGCCTAAATGACCACCGCCCCGTAGCACTCACGTCGGTAGCCATGAAGTCCTTTGAAAGGCTGGTCATGACTCACATCAACACCATCATCCCGGAAACACTAGACCCACTCCAATTTGCATACCGCCCCAACAGATCCACAGATGATGCAATCTCAATCACACTCCACACTGCCCTTTCCCACCTGGACAAAAGGAACACCTATGTGAGAATGCTGTTCATTGACTACAGCTCAGAGTTCACACCATAGTGCCCACAAAGCTCATCACTAAGCTAAGGACCCTGGGACTAAACACCTCCCTCTGCAACTGGATCCTGGACTTCCTGACGGGCCACCCCCTGGTGGTAAGGGTAGGCAACAACACATCTGCCACACTGATCCTCAACACTGGCGCCCCTCAGGGGTGCGTGCATAGTCCCCTCCTGTACTCCCTGTTCACCCATGACTGTGTGGCCAAGCACGACTCCAACACCATCACTAAGTTTGCTGACGACACATCAGCGGTAGGCCTGATCACCGACAACGATGAGACAGCCTATAGGGAGGAGTTCAGAGACCTGGCAGTGTGGTGCCAGGACAACAACCTCTCCCTCAACGTGAGCAAGACAAAGGAGCTGATAGTGGACTACTGTCACGCCCTGACATAGAGTTCGCTAGTTGGTTTAGTCAGGGTGTGAATATCTATGTGTGTGAATTTCTATGTGGACATTCTATGTCATTGTATTTCTATGTTGGCCGGGTGTGGTTCCCAATCAGAGGCAGCTGTCGATCGTTGTCTCTGATTGGGGAACATACTTAGGTAGCCATTTTGCCTACCTTAGTTGTGGGATCTTGACTCTTGTTTGGCTTGTGTAGGCATTGTGAGCTTCATGTTACGTTGCTTTTGTTGTTTTGTCGTGTGTTTACTTTAATAATAAACATGTATGCATTCCACGCTGCACCTTGGTTCAATCCTGTACTCAACGAACGTAACAACTACAGGAAAAGGAGGGCTGAACAGGGCCCCATTAACATCGACGGGGCTTTAGTGGAGCGGGTCGAGAGCTTAAAGTTCCTTGGTGTCCACATCACCAACAAACTATCATGGTCCAAAAACACCAAGACAGTTGTGAAGAGGGCACAACAACACCTTTCTCCCTCAGGAGTCCCCAGATCCTCAAAAAGTTCTACAGCTGCACCATCAAGAGCATACTGACCGGTTGCATCACCGCCTGGTATGGCCACTCTTTGGCCTCCGACCAGAAGGTGCTACAGAGTGTACTGCCTACGGCCCATTACATCACTGGGGCCAAGCTTCCTGCCTTCCAGGACCTATATACTAGGCGGTGTCAGAGGAAGGCCCAACATTTTTTCAAAGACTCCAGTCAACCAAGTCATACACTGTTCTCTCTGCTACCGCAGTGCCAAGTCTAGGTCCAAAAAGCCCCTTAACAGCTTCAATTAATAAAATGGCCACATGGGATATTTACATTCACCCCCCCCCCGCTGTTTATTATCTATGCATAGTCACTTTACCCCTACCTACATGTACAAATTACCTCGACTAACCTGTACCCCCGCACATTGAATCGGTACCGGTACCCCCTATATATAGCCTCGTTATTGTTATTTTGTTTTGTTACTTTTTATAAAAAAAATTACTTTAGTTTATTTAGTAAATATTTTCTTAACTCTATTTCTTGAACTGCATTGTTGGTTAAGGGCTTGTAAGTAAGCATTTCACGGTAAGGTCTACACCTGTTGTATTCTGCGCATTTGAAATAAAACCCAACTGATGCCATTGCATGAAGACGCACACCATATAAGCATGAGCTGACAATAATTGACTATTTTTGACTGCTGTTATATCGGCAATTATGTTCATTATAATGCCATTATTGCTTTTGTGCCGAGTTGAACTAGTTATCAAGGCCACTTGCCACTTATAATGATGTTCAGGCTACTGATGTTTTCCTTATTTGATGTTCAGGCTACTGATGTTTTCCTTATTTGACTGTGCCTCCTTTGACCGTTGATGGTGGTGGTTGGAGATGTTTTTTTCATTATGAAAATAGGCTGTTACCATGTTCCAACACATATGTTTTCTGTTTTATAGTTGTAACAAAGGCATGCCACAAATAAAATGGATTGAATACTTTTTTTGTAGTTGTTTTGTTTTTAAATATAGCCTACGGTAACATAAACTAATGTGTTATTTGAAATAAATCACAAATCGTATTCTAATGTTACCCAAGGCCTTCATAAACACAACCAAATGATTTTTTTTTGCAATAGCATATGAAATATATTAATTACACTGTTAGAATGTTGCAGTCAGCACCTATCTGTATCCCATCTGTCAAAATACCCAAGAATATATTTAAAAACATGTATGCTAGTCGTTTCAATGATTTGTTAATTTTAACAAAATAATCTACTAATAAATCCAACTTAATATGTTGCTCAAAATATATTTAATAAGGATAACCAAATAGAGAGAAAATGTAGTGATTGAACTCATTGGAAGTCTTTGGTTTTAATCACCTTGTATTTCATATCTTGCCATGTGACTCTGTTTTTAGAGGATTGTGGGTAATTCATTTTTAGACTTTATGATTCTTTCACACAATGCTGTATACATGTTTAAAGAAGGAAAAGTATATTTCTATATTAGTATTAAGCTTGTTGTGCCATTAGGTGTAATGGATCATGATGAATGTATTTCAAGCTCTAATAGTGCGGTCTAAGACATAGTGAAACATATCTAACATATCTATCTAATATTAGTCTAGAATATCTCTAAATATTGGATGTTGATCTTGATCCATTTGCTAATTTTAGATGTTGACATGTTGATCTTGAATGAGGGCTACTTTGCTAGATACCCAACTTCACTGCATCCCAGTCCACGTGTGCCATTTTTAAATTGATGTAGTTCTGTCCTTGAGCTGTTCTTGTCTATTAATGTTCTGTTTTATGTCATGTTTCATGTTTTGTGTGGACCCCAGGAAGAGTAGCTCCCACCTTCGCAACAGCTAATGGATATCCTAATAAAATACCAAATACCAGGCACAACAAACACTCAAACTCCCACACCCCTTCTCTCACACTTCTCTCAGCCCTCTCACCTTTGACAGTGATCTGTGCAGTGGTCTCGATCATACCGAGCGACGATATCGCCACGCAGGTGTAGTTGGCAGACTGGCGAATGTTGGTGACCTCCAAAACATTCCTCCCAATGGGCATCTCTTCTTCCTTGGTCAGCTCTACTATCCCCATCATCCACTTGACGTAGGGCATCGGCGCTCCCACCGCCACGCACGTCAGGTTCACGCTGCCACCCGGCATCACCTCATGGTTGTTGGGAGGGATGGAGAACCGGGGTGGCACACGCCGCACTGCAGGGGGAGAGCATAGGGTTGTGAGAGGCAGGAGAAGTGGAGGTTTGATGGGAGACGCTGCATGGGTGGCTGGGATAGCCCAATATCTCAATAGTCAGGCCTGGTTGTTGCTGCAGGGTATACCACTGTTCTCTGGGACAATAGAGGCCTATGGCAACTCTGCTATAGTTAGTTAGGGTGGGACCACATGTGATGTATCTATTAGTCAACAGTGAAATTGAACTTTCCTCACCTTTCATGTTAACTTTGCTAAAAAATGCCTAAGGCGGCCTATAAGGCTGGATTTCTCACGAGTGCCTTTGGATTTCCTTCTTTGGTATGTGGATTAAGACGCACCGGGAACTTATTACAGCTGCTAGTCTAAGGCATCCCTACCATATTCGGAGTTAGCTAGCTATCTACCACTCGTTCTGTCTCTAAGTGTGAGTGAATAGAAGAGGTTTCTTCTCCCTTGTTATCTACCATACACCATTAGAAATCCCCTTAAGTGCTGGGAAGTACTGCTCATTACATCTGAATTAATGCTGCAATGCTACTCTCTCTGCATGCATTAAATATACATAGCTCAATGGCATAGCAGCTAAAGTGCTCACACACAAAATGTGTGTTTCAAAATGGTCACAAAATGTGTTTCACTCTAGTATAACTTAAGTTTCGAGTCTGAATATTCTGGCCGTGTGGGGCGTAGATTGTGGCTTACAGGGTTTTTACCGGGGAGGGGAGAACTACATGCTGTGTGAGTCAAACAGGGAGAGATGCAGAGGTTTATGAAAGTTCTAAACTTGTCCCCAGGCTCGAATTTCTGGCGCATAAAGCCTGGTAACAGTGGGACTATTTGGAATTTAGGGGGTGTGGATTTACTAAGTGACATGCTAATCAATTCAAATTCTGAGCGAAACACAACTTTGAGGCGTGGCTCTAAATCGAGGCGGGAGAGGGTTGTCACTAGTTAACACAGCCACAAAGTCATAAACCCTGCCAATTTCTGCAATTTATCCCTCTTAAAATCAGATTTTAAACCTAACTCTAACCTTAACCCTAACCTTAATCACACTGCTAACTGTATGCCTAACCCTAACCCTAAATTAAGACCAAAAAGCTAATTTTTGAAGCCAATATTGACTTTGTGGCTGTGGAATCTTACTTTGTGGCTATGGAGGCTAGTGGAAACCTGCCCTAGTATCTGTGCGTTAGAGATGTCACCGATGACTATGACGTGTCTCCTCTCTAATGCCCAGGAAGCTCAGATTCAAACTCCCATTAGACAGCTATGCAAGCGTTATAATGTCAACGTACGTTCGATACTCACCAAATTTGGAGTTTCAATGAGCAACTATCTTCATTTACCCCTGTTATGTATGTACTTCCAAAAAAGGTATAAATAAAAATGTACAAGCAATCGAAAAAAATGCTATTTGGCACCTCCAATGTAAGATTTTTACTGGGCAGTCAGTTTAACGTCTATTCCATGTTAGTTCAAAGTAATTTCATTGAAATTATGTGGAAACAACGTTGACTCAACCAGTGTGTGCCAAGTGGGATGTATTGAGTTGTTGTAGACTTCCGACACACAGGTCGGAAACACAGCATGGTATAGCTAGTGTTGTATAATTTGAGAACGGTACTACTTTGAACAAATAAACTGAAAGAGGATTCTGTACTGTATAATGTCTTCATTTGACTCACTCAAGCACAGCAGTAAGTTAATCAGCTCCAACCAAGTGAGGAATCACTGATAAATGAATGTGCAGTATTTGCATGGGCTCACTCAGTGAGGAGAGGTGATAGATAGTAATGTTGGCTGTTGTCTCTGCAAAGACAAGAGCTGCATTGTCTGTCTGCTGGGACCGGAGGGAAAGAGAGAACCATCATTTACATTTTAGCAGACACTCTTATCCAGAACAATTAGGGTTACGTGCCTTACTCAAGGGCACAGAGATTTTTCACCTAGTCAGCTCGAGGATTCTAACCCAATGCTCTTAACCGCTAGGTTACCTGCAGGCTCTGTAATACAGATGGCAGGCATTAACATGGAGGAGACAGGCATCGCCTGAGCACGTGACATGGCGGACAGAGAGAAAAAGAGAGGGAGGGAAGGAGGAGAGGACGGTAAGAGACAGAGAGAGGGCGGGAGGGCGAGAGAGCGAGAGTGGTGAGAGGAGGGGAAGGGGCTGGCTGTTCGAGGCTGGGTATAGGCCACAGTTATGGGCCATTCCGTGATTCCAGTTGAGGGTGATCTGAGGTCAAAAACTCAGAAAGAGGAACCTTTTTAAAAGAGCGGAGGTTGTAAGCGGAGGTTGTAAATTGTTGTGCAGGTGAGGCACAGCAAGCAGCAAAAACCAGGCCTTGACGTTTCAATTCCAAGTTGATCTCCCAACACACACAGATGGTCTGCAGGAACTCACATTAAGCCATCCGCAAAATGATCCCCTTTCAGACAGCGCTGAGACTCTTAATCATCAGTAAGATAACTAATGTTCCCATTTTCATCTCTCTTTGCCCAGGAAAAATGCAAGGTTGCAGCCGAACAAAGAACCGTTCGCTGAGAAAGAGGATGTGTCCCAAATGGCACCCTATCCCCTATATAGTGCACTACTTTTGACCAAAGCCCTATGGGTTCTGGTCAAAAGTAGTGCACTATGTAGGGAACATGGTGCCATTTGGGACGGAACCAGGATTTCATTTGGGATGCAAGGGGAGAACTCTGTAGCAGACCTCTGTTTTGTGTTTGAAGATAAAATAGAGGCAACATTATTCACATCACAACTCTTAAAATACTGTGTTTATCATCAGGACTAAGAAATCACCTGCTTATTTCTTTACCACAGCAAAATTATGCAGGGCCCACCGGCCCTGCCTGGCTGACCAGCAGTTGCATCTATATACTGTAAATATTTCCAAACTGGTTTTGAAGCAAGCAGGGGACCAAAATTGTTTTCTTCTTCTTCTAATACGAACATCTCAGTTTTTATGTGACTTGAATGGTGTATGGGGTGTGAGGTGAGGTTGCTACCCTCTTCTCCCTTCTCGCTCTCTCTTCCTCCCTCCTTTCATCCCTCCATCCCCCTCCTTCTGCAGTACTGTAGTCTACAGGAGGGAAACAAGAACTGAGGATCTTCAAGATAACCACCAACTGTGGTTAATTATGGGTATCTAAAGCACCTGGTGCTACACAACATAACACCATCACATTTTCATTTAGCCTATGTCCTGAACATGGGCATTTGCAATCTTTCTCTACTACAGTATTCACCTTACCTTACCAAAGCAGAGACAGATTTTGCATTTCTTTTGCATGTTTTTTTGTGTATGTATGCATACTGTATGTGTGTGTGCGCATGCATGGATGTGTGCTATGTGTACCGTCTCTGTATGCACTAACCCTTAAATAAAGTCTGCGTGTGATTCATTCAAGTCATGTAAACGCTGAGATTTTGAGATGTATATTTTTATTCCTCTGTAATCAAATTGAGGCCAATCGTCTACCAACTCAGAGCTTTTCAGAGGAAATTAACCAATGTGTTAGATTGGAGTGTGAGGTGTCAACATGACATGCTGGGCAGCACAAGGCAGGGCAGGAGGAATCCTAACAAACCAACGTTAGTCACTGTGTACATTATTAGAAGGATGAGGAGGTTGGAGGTTACCCATGGATATGGAAAATGGTCACAGCGTGACATGATGGTTGTTGATTGGCTGACTGAGTGAGGTTATAACAAGGGGTTATCTGAGTTATTATTGGCTATGTTTAAGGTTAAAGGACACCAGGAAGTGGTGGAGGAGGAGAACTCGTCGTTGTCGTAGAAGGGAGTGACACTGTGGGGTTTAGTCACTAGTTTCAAGTGAACCGTTTTAGTATCAGAGGAAGTAGTATCAGCAGTAGCAACATGAGAAGCTGGCAGTTATAATGCAGACACACTCTTATCTTCATTGGCATGCCACAGAGAAAGAGGGGGAAGAGAAAGAGGGAAGGAAGGAAGGATTTGGGATTGGAAAAAGAAAAGGTAAGGATTTGGAGCTGAGGGGGGTAGGGGTAGAGAGGTAGGGGGGTGGAAGCACAGTCGTTGTTGCACACAGATTTTAGGCACACAAATATTGTCAAGGATGGCATGCAACAGCCCAGGCACAAGGCAAGCAAAGCATCAAGCACATTACTAGCTAGCTACAGAGCAGCTATGATCATGATGTCATGCTGGAATGATCACACAAAAATGGTCCTATAATAAAAAATTGAAATAAAGAGAGTTGCACACTCCATGTATTAGCTCCCAGAAATGTATTGGGTAGACCACCAACGATTTGGCATCACATTGCCTTCAGGATGCATGTTCTGGAATATTTTTGATTCTGTACATGCTTCCTTTAAACTATATCATTTAGGTTAGTATTTTTGGAGTAACTAACATGTTGTTGATCCATCCTCAGTTTTCTCCTATCACAGCCATTCAACTCTGTAACTGTTTATTTTCTATCTATTTTAAATCTACCAATCGGTGCCCTTCTTTGTGAGGCTTTGGAAAATCTCCCTGGTCTTTGTGGTTGAAATTCACTATTCGACTAAGGGACCTTACAGATAATTGTATGTGTAGGGTACAGAGATGAGCTAGTCATTCAAAAATAATGTAACCACTATTATTGCACTCAGACTGAGTACATGCAGCTTATCATGTGATTTGTTAAAGGCCCAGTGCAGTCAAAAATAATTTTTTTGTTGTTGCTACTTTTAATGGAAATCTATTACATTAAAGTACTTAATTTTTACCCAGAAATTATTTGAAATTGATATAGAAATGACTGCAACATGTTTACTCCTGAACTTATTTAGGCTTGCCATAACAAATGGGCTGAATATTTTTTGACTCAAGACATTTCAGCTTTTGATTTTAACTAAGTTGTAAACATTTCTAAAAACAAAATTCCACTTTGACATTATTAGGTAGTATTTGTAGATCAGTGACACAAAATCGCAATTTAATCCATGTTATATTCAGGCTGTCAACAACAAAATGTGGAAAAAGTAAAGGGGTGTGAATACTTTCTGAAGGCACTGTTATTTAATATTTCTCACGTCTCACAGAGAGGAAAGGAATCAGTTAACTATCTTAAACGTAGTCATTTTTTTAGAGAAAAGACATTAGACTGTCTGGGATTATTGGGAGGTAAATTGTCAGAGGGCACAGACCTCCATTTTAGAAAGTGTCTTGCTGATGCGTGAGTTGGCCAGAAGTTTGGGTAGCTG